TGCACATTTTAAATCCCGTCGAACGCGATCTCCTCCTCGCTCCTGCGCCGTTCTGGCGTGCGGCTAAGTTTGGGAGTTATTGGCAAAATGGAAATTGGCGGAATAGTGGAAACGGAATCCGCGCGATTCCAGATTGCTCCGAATTTAGCGAGACGTGAAATTAATTGTTGCGAGACTAAGGAAACGCACCGCGCAAACGATGACGTTCCTTGGAGAGAATTCTGATCCGATAGTCTGATGTGTGTAAATTTTGCAGCAGTTGAAGTAAATCATGAAATTCAGCAACGTTCAAGCCCTTATGATTGATCAGATTGCAACTCGCACATCAGACCGCAATTCAGATGTCTTTATCGCACAGAATGGCGAAATAGAAATTCGAAAGAAATACGAGAGGAATTATCAAAATTTGCTCGAAACAATAAATCATGTGAAATGTAATATGAAAATCTGAGTGTAACTTTTAGTAAGTTTGTTGTTGCATTGATACAAAAAAAAAATTACGTTATTGTACGATAAATTTAATAATTACAATACAATTAATTATCAATACAATTAATTATATCTCACTTCATAATAATTAGAATTCCTCAACGTAGTTATAACAAACCACAATGACTCCTGATTGGTCCGCATCCAGTCCGCCATTTTTGGTGGTGATGTGAGACAGAAATGAAAGAGGAGCTATAAGATTGAAATGAAACACATTGCAGTCTCTCTCATTCACCCACTCACTTGCTCCCTGCAAATGGCGGACTGTGTCTTGAGGAACTTGAGTGATAATCATGAAAGTCTATCTGGGCCTTTGCGCGTATTTCAAACTTAACTGCACGATCGTATTTTTCACTCGTATCGGTCCCTCGCTCGGTCGCGTTTCCCTTCTTCAACGCGCCCGGCCGACTTATGGTATACATAACTAACACCTTCGAGCCGATCCGACCCTATTCGGCATTGTATCTCTCCCCTTAGCATTCGCAGCGATCCGCGCTCTCGCTCCTGGCAGCCGGACGATCAGCATGCATATATGTAAAATGCAAAATTGTATCATTCTACGCTCGCGCGGTATTCTTTCTTATGTCTTCCTCACCTCGCGTCCACGTTTCTCGCTTTCCGGCTCAGTCCCCGCGCTAACATCCCCCACAGCAGCGAAATGCTCTGGGGGCTTTACCGCAGGGAACGGAGGAAGGCACGAGGGTCGCGGCCGGGGGTGGAGGAGGCCAGCTGAGAGGACGGTTTCAGGCCGACCTGCTCGAACTGGGTTGACGTTTTACGGCCACGTGGCGTTACGAGCAAAATTCCATGCCCGTTAATTCTCAATGGGATCAAACTCCGCGGCAACGATGACGCGCGCACGCCAGACTCGCGATGCGATTTCGTTGCAACATTTCGTTGCAATCCAGCCGAGCGTTCATATCGAGAGATGCGGAGAATCGGCCAGCGATAAAATATGCCGCGAACGAACCCAGCGAGATTCCCCGTTTACGTTATTTACGAATGTTCCTCTTGCTGGCGATGCGCACATTGGCTCATGCGGGCGATCGCCATTTCGCAGGATCGAAAACGCGAGTTTGTTACGGTGTAATCGCGCGTACGAGTTATCCGTTGCCGCTGACCGCCCCGGCCGGTCCGCTCGAGTTATTTTGCGCTGTTGTGTCCGCGTTTGCGAGCGCACGGCAGCAAACTGCGTTACTATCGTTGGCATATTTTCGAGCAAGTTGCCCGGCGGTGACCCAGCATGCGGCACGTAAGTTACGCCCGTGCAAACTCTATATCGCTCCGTGGCGAACGTTTTGGAGTAACTTGGCCGAGACGGTCCGTCCGTGCTGAATAACTCGCGCGTGTACATCAATTCGCTCCGTGTACCTATATAATGATCACGAACGACCCGGCGAAACGCCCGCAGGCGAGAAATAACTATCTGCTGCGCTTCGACGTTTTCACATCCCCAGTCTCTCTCTCTCTCTCTCTCTCTCTCTCTGTCTGTCTTCCCTCTGTGTCCACTGACCGCATTGTCGTCCACGTTAAAATTAGTTTGAGCGCCGTCACAATCGCCGCATCTGGCTGGAAGGCCAACGAGAAACGACAGGATGGCCGGGTGAGGGTGAGGGCAAGGACGACGGGGCGAGGGTGGGGCAGATGCTCGTTCTTCTCGTCTGTTCGGGGCGGTTTTTCGCTCCGCGACAGGTGGTGGGACCAGCGATACGAATATAATTGCGTTTTCGAATCGTCGTCCGTCTGTTTACCCCCCTCAGTAAAGCGTCGTTTCGCATCGCTGTTTTTGTCACTCCTGCCGATGCGTTCGAGAAATAATTTTTTCCCCCGTTTCTCATGGGGAAAGCGAGCCGCACCGAACACAACGTTTCAGTTTCAATAAAGCGGCTGTGAACGAGTAAAGAGTATTTGTTGAAAAAACTCGCGCCGAAATAAAAAGCGGAAAGGAAAGACAGGAAATCGTGTACGTATCGGCTACTTCTGGTCTTAACATTTGCTCTCGGAAGAAACGTGCTCGCGTAATACCCGTTCACCGTGTAGAGACGTAGGAGTATATAGAGATATTGGAGATTATGGAGAGAAAGAGAGAGAGAGGCAGAACAAGCTTCTTTCCGATAAAACATTCCGTTGAGTACACCATACATATATATCGGACGCTCCAAGTGTTTCGTTACACTATTTAAGCGTCCTTCAGCTCTTTCACGAAGGTAACCGCCGGTTTTGTCGAGCGGTAGAAACCGACGCTGTAAAATCGTGCCGCGCGCGCGATAACGCGCGGAAACTCGAACACCAGCGTCGAAGTACCAGATACGAAACTTCTTGCCGCGAGCTGTAGGTCGAGAGCGCGGGGGTGGCCGCGGGGAGGTGGAGGAACAGCTAGACGGGAAGAGAGCTCGGCGATTTTCCAATCGAGCCGCAGGGCGTTCGTTGTCTCTCCGAGGGGAACAAATCGACGAACAACGTCGACGATCGGATTTCGCCGCCGATCGAAGTCGGCCGAATGAACGGAATCGTAGATAGGTGGCCGTCGTCGCCGCCGCCAGCCAACTAGGTAGATGCAGGCGGCTCGACGCGCCTTGTCGCGGCCGGGGAAAGGGTTAAAAAGCAATTTTCCCTCTCCGACCGGACGAGCTGACCGACAGTTGACCGCGTTCTCGATGTAGAGGCGTCGCACGAGCGAAACCACGACCGAGCAATTTCAATTCAATCTCCGCGGCTTGCCCAAAAATGCGTGCGTTTGCACGCGCGAGCGCACATAAGGACATAAAATGAATAAAGGCTCGTCTACAGTAGGTAGAGCAAACTTAGCGTATGAAGTAAGAGTGAAAGTAAAAAATAGAGCTAATTTATTTCACTTACATATATGTCTAAACTTTAGCTCTGTTACATTGAAAGTATAACATTTATTTGACAGAAAGACTTTTGACACAAGGGAGCTGATGTATAGGCGTAAACGAAATAAATTACTTTTATTTTTTACTTCTCTTACTCTTTGTGCCAAGCTACTCCTTAAAGGTTCATCTACAGTGAGATTGACAGTAATATTATTATTAAGAATAATCGACTGTAAGTTGATCAATTTACTCATCGCTTACGTCTTACTGCCTATTGCCAATCCCATTGTAGACAGACCTTTAAGGGCCGCTGTTCGAATGTATGATGAGAGCATGCTTCTGCAGATTATCGGTCCCGAAAATGGAGTGATTTTCAAAAGTACAATCGGTATATTCTTCACTGAGTATATTCGCTTCATTGGAATTTAACAATTTGGTTGGTTGGTAAGATTCAGTTATAGTCAGCTCAGGATTAGCAGATTCAGGTTATAAGTATAGCATTGATATACTTCGCGGACACAGAGTGTCATTGCTGTTAATTCCATCGTCACAAATGCAACAAGTTGGATTTGGTTTAATGAATTTGTGTATTACAGATTTTGCGGTGAAATTGTACTTCTATTGTTGAAAATCAGTGAGAAATAAGACGTAGTAGTGAAAGTGTTTCTATCGCAAAAATCCGTAAAAATTCACTGATTGTCGATGAAACAATCTCTCCTCTGTTCTCTTATTGATGGCAAAATGTCCTCTTATTGATTCAATCCGAAATATTTTTACTGATGCTCTCTAAGCGAGGGTAAAACGCGGCGGCGTATGCTTTTTGTAGCGCACTCTGACGCTTGGAAACGCGTCCAAGATTGTTAGTATCTCCGTTCATACAATACGCAAATGCACTTTGGCGAGCTTTTAAATCGGACCCCGCACTCTCGCCCGGCGAGGGTGCGCGTGTGAAAAAATCATCGCGCGATTTGTTCGTCTACAATGGATCGCTTACCAGAGTAGATACACGTCAGCTGTCCGAATGACGACGGTGTCGTTTCGCCCGGCTATACATGATTGACAGTTTTATGGGGGCGAGCGCGGAGCTCGCTTCCCAAGTTACGATCGAGGTCTGGTTTTATCGTCCCCTCGAACCGGGGCCAAATGTTACGCCGTCGATGCTAATCGACGCGAGAGGGCGCTCGCCGGAGACGAGCGGCAAACCAAGTTTTATTTCCGAGATCCTCTGACAAACGCGCGAACTCATCGTTGCGCAGCTTACCAAGGATAAGTTCGGAACTCGTAGTTGGTTCGCGAGTGGTACGGAAGAGTAGACGTAAGATTTCCCTTTGAATTCAAGATGTAATTATACGAGCATCATTTCGCTCTTGTGTTCTTTTGCGTTGAATTAGGTTTTAAGTACATTTAGTATATTAACAATCGCGCGTAATGCAATGAATATTTACGAGTTGAAGTCGTACAACACAAAGTCGCTTCTAAGAGCCTTATCGCGGGAGCACAGAGCTCGAACATACTCGCGCATTTGAAGAGCCGAACGTTCAGTTCTGACTATTGCTTATCCGACGCGGGAATCGAAGTTGATGTAAACGGGGGAATGGCGCGCGGCCAACGACGACACATTTAGCATGAAATGCGCCCACGGGGAGCGGGGAATGTGCAAAAGCTTGGGCAACTCACCTCGCAACTGGAATGACTGATGTTGCTCAGATTTAGCCTGAAGATCTTGTCCCTGAAAGCAGAAGAGGAAAGTTTCGTGTTAGCGTAACGGCCGAATTAAGCGTGGTCGCGATAGACGAAAGGGTCGAGGGGTAAATTTTCATTCCCCCACGTCCGCGAGATGCATTACTCTCCGTGACTCGACCCTACCTTATCTCGCCGCGGTTATGTATGGTAGTGTAGCGCCGCGGCACTTTGCTTACGGCTCTCCGTCGTGGCAAACGCTCGCAAACGGCACGGAATTTCTATGAAGGGTGGAAAGGGAGACCGGAGGGCAAAAGTGGGATGAGGCGCTGCCTCTCTGACCGACTTCCACCTTGTCTCTTCTTTGTTCAACGGTGCTCGAAGTCGCGATGCTTTCCTAAACCGGGTCGCTCGCTTTTATTAGGACTTTTATTCCTCGTGACGTCATGATTCGCGTTCGAGAAAGCAGAAAGAGACGAGTAGAAAAATTCACGAGACGCAATAGAGATCGAGGTTAACGGCGAAAATAAGAAAACAAAAAATACGTTATCATTTCGAGCTTGAGGCTAACGTTAATTTCACGTCTCTACGTGGAGATAATGTATTTGGCGCGATCGAATGCCGATACCAGCGGCCGTTCGCCGGCAATAAGTAAAACGCAAAGTAGATCCGCGAGAGGATTTTCATATAAATCTAGCCGCGACCGCTGCACGGCAATCTGAGGTGCCGCGTTCGATCATACGTGAAAGGTATACGCGCTGCTGCGCGCCGCCGATCGTAAATCGAATTTACCCAGTTTTCAAATGTTTCGCAACATTAACGCTGGCGCGCCGCATAACTTTATCCCAATAGCCATTCATCATCGCCTTTCAATAGAAATACGCAGTCAGACGGAATGCTCCCACGAAACGTGAAAGAGAGAGGGGAGAGAGAAAGAGAAAAGGCGAAAGAGAAAGAGAGAGGAACGAGGGAGGAAGACCTATCCCTCAGCGGCTGTCTTTTTTCATTCATTCTGTGCACCGTTCCGTGAAAAAGTAAATAGCGACGTGGAAAAACAAATCCGCACTTTGGAATCCGCCCGCGTCGAACTTTCGTCTCGGGGAACTTTCAGAGGGCTCGGCAGGTGGAGGAGAAGGAGGGCGGGTGAAGAAGGAGGCGGGGGATCGTCTACGTGCTGGCACGTCGCTCATGTTGCCGAAAGAAAAAATTCGTAGGAAAGTAATTTGTAGAGGAAACCCGACGTTAAGGGTGGGCTCGTGCTGCCGAGTCATCGCTCAGAGCCGCCTTTGAGATTCGATCGGAGATCGAGACGTGCGTAATCAAACCGAGAAATTGCTTCGCGCGGAAAATTGCCGAGTAAAAATTTCATTAAAGTCTCATTGACACGGCTCCATGGAAAGTAGAACGTTTTCCGGAATAAAGAAAGTATTACTCTCGGGAATCGGGAAAAGAATTCGGTTCAATCTAACGTCTTACATCGCCTTAAGGGCTTTTCGAGGGAAAGTTTAATTAAAATCCGGAAGCCCGTTTCGCGCGCGCGCGAGTCCGCGTTGCAAGCAATTTCTTAAGCTATCGCGGGACTGCCTGTATCGCGGAAGAAATTTCAACGGATTTGGGTGCTAATTCCTAGCGCGAACGCGAACGTAAACTCAATTGAGAAGACTCCGCGTGACCAGTGCACGATCGTACACGTGTACACGGAAATTCATAAATGCAGATCCCCAGATCTGAGTTCCCCAGATCATTCCCTCAGATCGAGAGTCACTGAACATTTTCGAGCAGGCGCGTTCGTTTCTAGATACGCGCTCGTCGTCACTGTTGATTAATCGGGAGAGCGGCCACGATGTTTTGAGCTTGCGCTGGTGGTCAGACGGTGGTCGACAGTTTCTGCTCTTCCACCAGCGCAAGTCCTAATTGGCTTCTGTTTTCTGCTTTTCTGCCAAAGTCTGAATTCTCCCTAAGGTTGAAACCACTAATTAATTAATTAAAGCCGTTATAATCCTACCATTATAAGTTTGAAGTTGGACAAGACAGGGTCAAGTCGGATTATGCGTGTTGGTCATACGCTTGATTCATGTATTCATTGTGAAAGTGACAGTGGAAAAGGAATCGCAAAATGTTCCTTTTAGAACTTTTCTTTTGTTGCTTCCACAATAAATACATAAACGAAACGTATAGTCAACATGACTTTTGAGCCGACTTGACCCGGTTTCCTCCATTTATATGATTTTCAATCTCAAACGTTATGTGCAAGGCCGGAAATTGTGTAACTCTCGATATAGGGAATGGTGGGACGTCCATGACGTCGTATGTATGCATCGTGCGTATTTTCCGTATCTTCCGAAATAGGTCACGGCTTGGAATAACAACCGCATCGCGCTCTTTCTCCCTCCCCTCTCTCTCTCTCTCTCTCTCTCTCTCTCTCTCTCTCTCTCAAGTCTCGCGCGTTGCGCTCGGATGCCTCAGCCGCGTAATACGGACATTTTGCAGAATTTTCAGTACAGTTGAGAAGGAGCCTGACGAATGCCCGGCGAAATCCGAAAAGCATCGTTGTCTGAATTTGCGGTTGCGCGTGACGGACAGCTCTGACCCGGGCTGCATTATCCAACACGTCGGGATCTATCCCTTGCCGCCCTGCCGCGGATTCTGGTTTTGGGGGGAATACATGACAAGGGCCAGGAAAGTGGCGTTTGCAACGGCGCTATTTACCCCGACGTCTGCGGGAAAGAGACGTATATCCGCACGGAGATAGGTTTAACATAATAGAACGATTTTAATAATTCCGGGTATAAATCAACGACGTTGTGCTCGACGGAGAACAACGCTATTACGTTCTCGCGTCCCGATAAACCGCAGTGCGGCTGTACGGTGGCGTCGCTATAATAATTCGTCACTTTAGTCGCGAAATAATTCAGCGACGGAGATAATGTGGCCCGGTCGGATGTGTAAAGTGTTATGAAACGTGCTCTACGGATGAAATGTGCGATCTGGCATAATCCAATTCTTTCTGTGCAATTTTCATCGAGACCTGCAATTTTCATTCGCACCTCAGCGGATAATTCGCCAAATCGATACGCGACAAGTGCTAATAATATTTCGGTACTGATAACAAATGCATCAGTGTTATTAGTGTTCAGGGATTGGATTACTTTCATCTTCTCGGAAAATATTTTATATTAATACAAGTAAATATGTTATTAGTACTCATCGAATTAATATTTTGTATTTCTTATTCGTTTCGGTTTTCGGTTTAACGCCACTTTCTTTGTTTCCATTGTTTCGTGAACATTTCAGTTTATTAGAGATGAGAACAATCTGACATCGGATTAAACCAAAGTGATGAGTATCTGTTCATCCCGCGGAAGTTCCAAATATCAGATTCTTAGACATTTTTTCTCTCAGTGCATTTAACTCCTCTCGCGCATTTCGCGTTTCTTTTCCTACTCGCTACACTTCCGACACACGAATTGTTTCCTCATTCTCTTCAAATTCAGCGGAATTTGCACGGTCAATGTCGAATCGAAATTTCGGCTGAGATAAAGGCTTACTCTCCTCAACAAGACCTTCTTGAAGTTTCCGTACGAAGAGAACGGCGATAACTTACGATTTGTAGCATTAGAATAACACAGTAGTTTGTGCAAACGCTACACATCCCCGTATATCATACATACATTACTATATATGTCGGGATTTTTCATTGGCCTATGCGAGTTGGACGATATTTGCAGGCTTAACGTAGAATCTAAATTTCAGCTCGGAAAATGTCCGGGCGAAAGCTCAATTGCCACGCTTGGCTCCTCGTATGGCCGTTTTCACCTCGCAAGCATTCGTGACCGTAACTCACTTCTCTCTACGCTATCGCGCTGCTTTCCCGCCGGTTGTTTCAGTGTCCGCGTTAGCGGAGGCGAAATCTCTCCCCGTTGCGTTCTCGGCAACGGTTACTGGAGACAATTAGGAGGAAAACCGATCGCGACTGGATGCGACGTGTTAATCCCCGAGCGTCGCTTTTTCGGCCGAATTGAGCACAATAGGTGACCGGCGAAAAGGGCGACAAGTGTGACCCGAACGAAATGAAAGTATGATCTCGACGATGTGAGTCTTTCTTCTTTTCATCTCGTTGCACTGGACTAGACATAGACGAGCCAGTATAGGCGCGGGCTCATAAACGCAAAACTACATTTTTTCGTACGGCTCTCTCCCGCCAACGGCCTTTGGCTTGATAATTGGAAGCGTTCAATTAGCGTGCCTTAATTGCAGAGCGAACCGCAACGCGGATGCCGATTCTCAAACTACAATTAATGGCTATCACCTTTCTAATTAACGAGGAACGATGCTCGCACGCGTATCGATCGTCGCGTGCGATAATAGAGAAAAAAAGGTGAGCGAGTAGCGGTGGTAGGACACGACAGGGGGAAATAAATCGCGATCCACTGCCACCAAGCCAGTCACTGCGTGAATCGACTGATGTACGAAGAAGTGTGTGTCTTTTAAAAACTACTTACAAAATTACTCCTTAAGAGATTGGGGAGACTCGTCCCTTAGCATTCAGGAAGGAAACGTCGTAACGACTTCCCTTTACGTCGAGTTCTTATCGGAATTCTATTCGATATTGTAGTTTCGTAGATAGATACGAGCGCGCGCGCGTATGTGTGTGTACATATACACGACACGACGAGAGACGACGCGAGCACGTGGAAGCAAGCCAGGAAACAGGAAACGTTAAAGTCAAAGTAGCCGCTTTCCTTGGGAAATGCAATTTATCGTAACTGCGCTTTTCCTTTTGTCGCCCCATATGGCGAGCTCATCCTGTCGCATAAACGAGAAAGAGAAGGAAAGAATGAGCGAGAGAGAGAGAGAGAGAGAGAGAGAGAGAGAGAGAAAGAGAGCGAAAGAGAGAGAAAGCAAAGGGGAGAGTTATTTTGAAAGCGGAAGCTTTTATGCGCTTGTCATTTTTTGCTTTTCCGTCGCCCGGAAGTATGATTTATATCTCACGTAATTTGATTTTTCTCCACGCGCACGTCGTTCGCGTCCGCGTGTACGTCCGGATTACATTTAACGTCAGTTTATCCTTTTCATCATTAACAAGAGCCGTCGTGTTTTGCGTATCTACGTACCTGTTGTGTATATTGTTTATCGTCTCGCGATCCACGCATACACATTCGAGGAAAATGAGTACAACTTTCCCGTGTGCTATCTATACTGTTCTAACAAATAGTCGATTGAGTCTCGAGTAGTCTGCTCTCTCACATACACACACACACACACACACACACATACACGATGACGAAAACATACTCGCACACCACGAACACGGGCCCACAAGAGAAGCCCGTAAGACGATCTGTCCCGACTGACAAAGGGATTAAACAAGTATCGTTCCTGTCTGCTTCGGGATTTCTCTGAATCCGCGAGCATTCGAGGATCGTCCCCCGTGCTCGGTCGCGTCTCCATTACCGGGGGCTTCGTAGCATTTTGCTGGCATTTACCAAATTAAGAGGAGGGGTGGTAGCACAAAAGAGGGAGAGAAGGCGGAGGATGAGGCGAACGTTAGCGGATGGTCGCCAAGGGTGGCGGCTGGAACCGAATCAAGAAATAATACTCCGCTAGTAATGATGCGACGACGTCCCATCCGCAATCTGTAGCAGCTCCAGGGAGCGGCATACTAGTAGGGTCGGGGCCCTTTGGCCGTTTCGCTCCCGTCGAGTCACCGTCGAAGAAATAATAACCCGATACTCGTGCAAAGAGTCGATCAATTTAACGGGTTATTACGGCTACCTACGGCACGGCAAGAAACTGCTCGTCGAACTTTTAATTACGGCATAATTTCCCGAGAGAGAGAGAGAGAGAGAGAGGGAGGGAGGAGGAGGGGCGAGAAAGAATTAGGAAATATCAAGGAATATTGGGGAATCGAGAAACGTAGATAAAAAAAAGAACAATGCGAATCCTGGGGAACTGACAGCGACGCTGATATAATTACGCGTTTATCATTATTAACAGTATACGTATTGAGGTCGCAATATACACTTTCGAGAACGCTATCTAGACACTCGTTAAGCTCCGCGGATTAAATAGCAAATTCATTAATTTTGACCTCTGTTGACGCGATATTTTCCATCTGCACGGCGGTCGTAATTGCTGAGGGATCGTCAGTTTCGATTTATATTATATGTTTGCTCGCCTTGCGTTTTCCTTCGGAGAGCTCAAAGGTTCCGAGTAAATTGCCTTTCTGCAAAGTGAAACATTTAGAGCGGGAGAATTCTGTTGAGCCTCTGTAAGATGAAGCAACTGAATAAATAAGTCCGTGGTTTTCGCGAACAATAATCACGAAACTAGAAAATAATGGAAAAATATGTGTAATTGCGAATTTAATTAAAGCAATGCTACAAAGAGTGGAAATGTTCTAAAAACTCTCCTTCGAGAACCGGTACCGACACTTAAAGGAAAATATGGTAATAGTAACTATATAGGTGATAACTATACGAATTTTGTGTGTAGAATTGTTAGGTATTTTGCTTTTGACAAACTATTTTGTATGTACTGCAACTAAAGTTTTAGTTGTAATAACAATAAGATAGTTTCTTCAACTATATAGGAGAGAATTGCCAAAATTGTACCGATCTTCTAAAACGTATCAATTGTACCTGATTTCTTTGTTGTTGATTCTTTGAATGTTTGTAACACAAAATAAGATATAATCTGAAAATAATATTTGTTTATATATCTCATTGCTCTCTTAGTTGTTTCTCATTTTTTTCACCGCTAGATGTTTTCCAAATTCAATAATAATAAAGAAATTAATGAGATCTATGAGACTGATATCAAAAGAGATTTCACTCTCCTCTACATTAATTCTACATTAATTCTACACACACCCAGAATTTACATAGTTGTCACCTATATGGTTGCCATCGCCGTGTCTTTCGCTCTGAGCGAAGAGAAGCGATGAAAAAGCCGTTTTACATGACCTATGCGAGAGTAATTGTTGTCCCGAAGGCCCGCGTCACGTGCAAGGAGTAATCTCTCAAAGTTCGGATTATCCGATTATTCGATGACATCGGCGAAAAAGGAAAAGTGCAATCAAACGACGCGATTTCCGGCCCGTAAGCCGTAGAATTTTAATCACAGCAATCGTAAAAATCCGCGACGTGGCACATACATACGTGCACAGCGCCGCGCGCGACCGACGTAATACCTCTGTCCTCGCACTTTGACGAGGGAACGTCGCAACTTTTACCGGGGATTTTCATGGCGTGACATTTTATTACGGAGCCGGGGGGAAAAAGTTCTACTTACATAGCTCCGACGTACAGGGCGTCCCTCTTACTGTCCAGATAGAGCGTCCTGTAGTACAGCATGCCGCAGCTGAATTCCCGCACGTGTTCTGAAAGCAAAAGTAAATAAGGGGATTAAACGCGACGTCGTAGAGCGGCGAAATTCATTTTCCGCGCCGCGGAAACGTGGCGAAGCGCCGTGCCGCGACCGCTGCGCGCTCAGCGGATCGTTAGATTTTCATTATGACTTTTATAATAACGGCTGGATAGTAAGGCGCCACCCGTCCGCCCGCCCACCTGCCCGTTACCCGGTCGACCCCGCCGGTAATCCGGCTAAAGTCAACTCTGACTTATCTCTACCGTAAACTCGTCGGAATTACACGGCACGTAACGCGCGCTCGACATTTTCGTTCCATCGGCCAGCGTGGATCCGCGGAAGCGTTGAAGATCAACGCGCGAAGAGTCGCGAGTTAATATTAGCGAATGAAGCAGCGGCGGCGGCGGGAACTTTCGCGGTTGTCTTACGTGTAAACGCGAGTTCGTGCTTCGCGACAAATTCGCGCGCGAAATATGTATTTGATCCACGCGAACTTTCAAGCGATAATTCGAGGGCGTATATTCTCTTTATTGAATAATCTCGTATTTCTTGACGCATGGAGAAGAGAGAGAGAGAGAGAGAGAGAGAGAGAGAGAGAGAGAGAGAGGGAGAGAGAAGACACATTGAACGTGAACGCGGCAATCTTTACACAGAGAAAACACTAGGGGTATCATTCGATCAAACATGGTTGTTGTAACGAAATATGAATGTTATTTTTCACCCAGGTAACAAAAGGGTTGTAGAAATTATAGTACTTTGAACGTGGTGAAGTGGTAGACATTTTATGTAAATAAAACATTTGATCGAACTTGTCAATAAAACTTTTTATTTTTTTCACGAATTTATGTGAAAGAAACGGATACATGATCTCTTGATTCTCAAACTAATGCCACAATTTTAAAACATAACCGCGAACGTAATTCATTGTAAGAAAACATTATTTTGAGAAATAATTTCTCAATAACTGATTACTAAGCATACACGTCAGCAGTGGCTTTCAATTCTGACAACTTGAAGCATTGCAACCTTGATTCGATAAAAAGTGTGAAAACCGTTTAGGAACCGAGTGTACAGCATTCCCGCTGCCACAAGAGAACCAACAAAAGAGAGGAAAAGAGATAAAGAACGGTCGACGACTCTCACCGATCCTCTCTTTCTCTCCTCCTTCTCTCTATCTCATCAGCCGACACTGATCTACTTAACATATGAAAGAAAGCCGCCCCTTTCTAAATATACTCGTTCCACTCTGGACTAACAGAGCGCGAACAATACTATATTTTATACGGTATCAGGAGGGGCTGACGTCGAATGAAAGGGGTTCCTACTCTGGAACAGAGCTACTCTTCCTCCATATCTATCTATCCCTCGCGTTCGCCCCTTCCTCTCTCCCGCCTTTCTTCGCCTCTTCTCTAGCATCTCTTTCTCTCTCACTCCCTTTCTCGCTCACATTTTGTATCTCTGACGCTAACCAACCCTTCGCATGTTTCTCTCTTCTCCAGCGCAAACGCGCGGGGAGAGGGAGAGGGGGATTGCAAAACTCGACCTTGCTTTATCTCGATGAAACGACCGTGGTTACGCCGCGGCCCCTCTAATGTCGGACTTATTCAAAACCAATGCGCCACCGTAACTCGTTAGGTCGGTCGGAACAGATAAACCACGACGCACTAGGCCGTGTTCCCGAGGGGTCTCGAGAAATTTATATTCACTCGCGAACATGACCGTTCATTCGCGTTCCTCCGTCTCATCGATTCGCGCGGATGCACTTCTCGTCCCGATGCTCGCGAGCGCATTCCGCCACGAGAGTTATTCCGGTCTTATCGTCGTGATAAAGTCTCATCGTCCAATCCTCGGACGATATATGTGTGTGTGTGTGTGTATATAGATTTAAGTACATGCACGGAAGATGACAGCCACGCGCGCACCTGCCGCTCGAGTTAACACATCCTGCGCCTCGGACGCTTCTATTTTCGACCCGCGATAAAATTGGCCGCGCCGCGACGCGAAGCGCAATTGTTAATGGGAGTAAATGTCGTCGCGTTTCTATTTCGGCTGTGCGGTGTTGTCCCTTCGCTGCGACGTTATTTATTAAGCGCGCGGAATGCGAGGCGGCTGCATTCTGAGTCGCGGTAATAATGTGTCTCTCGCGTATCCTCTTTCGTGTCTTCATTCAGCGAGACCGCCCCGCCGCGCGGTAGACGTGCACGCGTATCCACGGTGCACACAGCCGCGTTGTCGACGCGTAATTTATATGGCTCCGTTCGCGTAGCTCACCTAGTTAAATAATTGGATCGCTGCCGTAACTTTCTACGGTTTTGCAATTTCGCCGTCTCCTAATTACTCGATAATTGTTACATTGTTTTCAATTGCATCGTGCGCGCGCGCGCGCGCACCAATATTTGCTTAATTAATAACGCGCGTAATATAAATAATTAATCGCCCAATATTGATGCGCCGGAGGAGCATGTGGCGCCGGCGCTGAGTTCTCCGGCAAATATTTGCCATCGTGTAATTTACCGCCATTAAAAGACATCGGCGCACACGTATATATACGTACGTACACGCATACGCGTGCACGCGCGCAAACATTGCCCGCTTGTCGTAAATTACTTACACAACGCGCGCAGCTCTCGTAAGAACGCGCGCGCGTTGAACTTGGAGGGACGATACAATCGCTAATCGAGGCTGTTAACGGTGCGTGATAACACCCTAACGACCCTAGTTGCGGAAACCATCCATTCGAATTCGGTGCTTCCGGTGTAACGGCCTAATACCTTTACAGTATTTCTTAATTAAGCGCGCCGAGGGGAGGGGAGCATCGCCATCGACCTAGAATCGTTATGAATCTCGTGCGATTGCGGCCATTATACCTGATAAAAAGGCAAGGGCTTACACAAACGGAGGGTTGCCGGGTGTAAGCGTTGTCATCGCAAAAATATACGAGTCGTTCCGTCTCGCTGATTGGAAAGCACCGAATGGTGATCCGGGCGATTCTTTATGATTATGATCGTGATACGTGTGCGAGAAACACGTTCGTGTGTGATTTTCTCATTAGAATATGGCTTGCTAATTAACAAGCTGCTGGTTGGATTAAACGAGAAGCTGGAAATTACCGTGGAAATTTCGGAATAAATGACATCTCCCGTTTCGCGCTTTTGCTCAAAGCAAATCTGAAGTATAAACCGTTCTCTCTCGTTCCTCTTCTTCGTTTTCTTTTTATCAAAGCTATCGTTGATATCGTATTTAAATCCCGTTGACTTTGCGAGCCTCAATATACGACGAGAGGACGATTCGCTCTTTAAATCCCCGTCATGTATGTGCGCGTCATGCTCTAGTTCCTCGGTCTTGTGTGTATACACATTTTTGCATCTAGATACATTCCCCTGAAAGCCCTTAATCGCAGTTTTGCATAGCGTCCGGTTTCGGTTTCCAAGCAATAAAAAAACTCGACTCTCTCTCTTTGTCTCTAAAAAACTCGTTAGGTACATTCTATAACGTTATTTTACTTATCAAGACGCACTGATTTTCCCCAACTTGTAACCAGAAGACATTTTCATTAAAATTTTAATTTGAAAAGATTCCGTTAATTCCCTCTGTAGCTAAATGAGGTGCTTGTAGTATTCAATAGCGCACAGTTTCATATAAGAAGCCAAAAAGTTTCACAGTGAAACAATTACCTAGATAGACTCTCATGACTATTACGACGTAAGAATTCGTGATAGAAACTTTTTAATATTTATACATTTGTGCTAATACATTTCATACGATATATTATAATACGATACCATAATATATTTATTAAAACGCATTTGTGAAATAATATATCGTTCCAATCGAAGAAAACCGTGGAATAAAAATTTTGTCAATAAATAATTATCATCAATTAAAGATGCAGTAACACACATCCTTATATGTCTTGATGAATTACTTTTAAAAATGTTCGAAAATTAATGATTCGGAAATAAACAAGTTATCACGCGTTGAAAACAATGAAATTAAGTAATGTTTTTAAGAAAACATTATTTAACTTTATTACTTTTTTATTTTTAACTTTTCTTTCACAAATTAAATAAAACTTGTGTTTTATTATGGTGCACATTTCAAATATTTAATATTTTCATGTAATACGAAAAGAGAGTTAATTTATTTATTTTTAATATATTTAATATTTATTTAAACATTACGGTGTTCCCATCATGCTCCAGGTTACTTTATGATTAAAAATCATATTAACGATATAAAATTGCATTATTTAAAATCGTATTTACAATACAAAATTGCGCGTGATTTAAAATCATATTTACGATACACGAAAAAAAGAATGGTTGTATCAACCAGAAAATAAAATATGGCAAATAAAATAAGAAAGTAAAATATGGCATAACTTTTATTTCTGGCTTCAGTAACCAATTTTTGGTTACGTTGATATATGCGACATCATGCATTAGCACTGCGATTTATTGCTTGAAAAAATGCTTTTTTGAGGCAACGAATCGGTAGGTCAGCGTAACCAAGAATTAATCCTTGAAACCGGAAAGAAAAGCTATGCCAAATTTCAATATTTTTTTATTGACACAACCATTCTTTCTTTTCCATGTACAAAATATATCGCATTCATTGCAATCCTTAAAAAAGACTATCGCAATCCTAACAGATAGATTACGTAAACGTTACAGCAACTTTAAGATATCTTGCGTCACGAAATATAGGCACAACATTTACTCCCTTATAACTGATCAGATTGCAATCGTATTGCAATCGTACAATGACAAAATAATACTACTATGTTAGAATAATAATTCATATAAAATCAATAAAATTTACTCAATACAATGTGTTAATAAATGTATTCAAAATTTAGCGCACATTTGACTCATATGACGTAAGTTAGAAAAATTTACAGCACACACACATTTACATGAAATTTATTAAAAATTTACATTTTTTTGTAATTTACACTATGTAATAAGCGGAAACAATTTACTTTTTTTTTACTTATATTTACGTCATATTTTT